TGAGAATTCAGAGTTACAGCATGTTCTTCCCTGCGTGAACAGCGATTGGCTGCCTAGCACGTAAGCCACGCCTTTTCTGTGACGTTTAACTTTGGTTATATCCCCACGTGCAACTCTGTTGTTCTCTCACATCGCAGGATCGCACTAGTGTCTACGGTGATAAAACTGCAAATTTAGCTTGAAGCGGAAGTTTTAATCGTACGTTTTTATTTTTGCCGTTTTGCGGCGTCTACGTTGTAAAACCCAATCAGGTCGGATACAATGAAGTACATCATTGGAATAGGGGGGTAAGTATCTTTTTACAGTAATATTATGAACAACTAACTTAGTTGTAATAGTTACAGTCGAGCCTTAATGTGGCTTATAATATTTTAAAATGAAGATAATATATTATACAGGTAGTAATTTATTACTTACCGTGTTTTATTCTCATTTATGACGGGGATGAGTGTTTTTAGAGAATTCAGAGCTTTGAAGCGTTTTGAGTTTTTGAGCGGGAGATTTAAAATTGTGAGCGCGCCGAAATGTCTTTGTTTTTAACGGACATTCGCGCCTTAATATATCCAGTCATCTGTTAATTACATTTTTTTTATCGTGTATGAAGTAAAATAACAGCTTTTAAATTCATTTTTCTTGTTGAGTTGCCATATTTAATGTTATTTGTGATTGTAATGAGTTTGTGCCTCACCACCAATGGCTTTAATACAAAGGACGAAATATTAAAGAAAGTGACTTTAAAGACGTCAAAGTTGCTGTGTTTAATATATTTTTAGAGTGTATTTATTATATTAAAGTTATATTATTGAACACGTGGATAACTAACAACAATGTAAGCCTGGGTCAGTTTGTTGTCATAAGCCAGCTGAAGGAAGGAACTGAGGACCATCCCGCCATTTTTACTTGAATAAATTTTTAATATACACGATTAAACAAACTTAAAATACGTTTAGTCGTTCGGCTTTTTGACTCATTTCAGCTCGGGTTTATCATTTTAACCTTCCTTTTTAATTTTTTAGTGTGACTAATGGTGGTAAAACCACCCTGACGAACAGATTAATAAAAGCCTTACCAAACTGCTGTGTGGTTCACCAGGATGACTTTTTCAAGGTGAGTTCAACTAAATGTAATATATATTTTTTTTATTTTGGTGTTGGCTCTAAAAAAAATTCACCATTCCTTTTTATTAAAAAAACTTTAGCTGTAATTTTTTCCCTTAGTCTTTTCATGTTTAGGTTAGTAATTCAATAATCGGTTGGGATTTTTATGAATATATTTTATTTGTTGTGCTATTTTAATTGTAGCTTCCTATTCTTGCCTGTTGTAGTATTGCATGCATGGATTAAATAAGAATTAACTTTAAAGTAATGACTCTTTACGTTTGCTTTTCCTCTATTTTATTTGATAAAACTTTCATCTGGCTCCTTGTATAAGGCTGTGATATGAGGGTCTGTGTATATAACATATTTAAGAACTCAAAAGTGCTGATCCAAAATCAGCTTCCTCCCATCTGTCGAGTTGAATTCATCCGGTTATGATGGCCGAGACCTGATTCTAGATCAGCAGTCTGGCTCAAATATACATGACGGCATTTGCTGCAGTGTTTTACTGGTCACTGTTATTTCAGCCGCCGGATCAGATAGCAGTCGGAGAGGATGGCTTTAAACAGTGGGATGGTAAGAATATAAACAGTAGGAGAGTAATAACTCCTCATTCTACGCATCGCCCTACCGTAACAAAGACTTTACAATCCCTCCCAACCCATTTACATTCTCTCTGTGTGGCTTTGCTACAAGTGAATTAAAAATTCAACTTCCATTTTCGAGTTTCAATCTTGTGCTAAAAGCCTGTGTTCTGCTTTTGTAGTGATCACAGCTTTGGATATGGAGGCCATGGTGAACACCGTCAAGGGCTGGATGGAAAACCCAATCAAATTCGCCCGTTCTCACGGCATCCAGGTGACCCCAGCCACGGAAATGGACGACCCTGAGAGCCAAGTGCACATACTCATCGTAGAAGGATTTCTGCTGTACAACTACAAGTGAGCGACATATTTAACTTTTGGTGGGCTGAACTGCATGAATGGCAAAGATTAGTTTCTGGGAAAGTTTGGTAACATGTATGTGTAGGAAGGGACCATCGGGGCATACATGCTGTTCATGTGACGCTCTGCATTGGTGTAGATAAGGAGATGCGCTGAGCTATTGGTGGGCACACGGAACTGCATGTGCTGATTTCTGAGCCGACTATGTAGAAGTGCTATAATCAGACTTCACTCGTAGTTTCAGAGACGGTGTTCTTTTTAAGGTTATGACCTTTTTATCTTTTTTTCTTCTCCAAACAGGCCTTTGCTGGAATTCTTTGACAAATCATATTACATAACCATCCCATACGAGGAGTGCAAGTCAAGGAGAAGGTGTGTTGAAATTGCAATCATACACTCATGATTTGTGCTAAATATGAGCAGCTGAAATAAATTTGTATTATTTATTTCAGAACAAGGCAATACACCGTCCCCGACCCTCCCGGGCTCTTTGACGGTCACGTGTGGCCCATGTACCTGAAACACAGAGGTGGCATGGAGAACTGTGGTTTGCCGATCGGTACGGTATACGTCCTTCAGACTTTTGATTTTGTGCTAAAACCATACTATTTTAGATAAACACTCATTTTGTGTCACGTCTACTTTAACAGAATACTTGGATGGCTTGAAAACGAAAGACGAAATCTACAATCAGGTTCACGAAGACATCCACAACACACTCCTGAATCGTTTATAGGTAAGAAAGCCAATCCAGATGTTTGCTGAAATAATTAATTGTATTTGTTTATGCGTCATAATAAAGGAACTTGTTTTGTTTTGTCTTTCAGCAATAGGAGTTTGCCGCTGATCATCTGTACAATATTGTAAATATCAATCTTACTTGATGTGGCCTTTTTTTTTCTTTTTAATGGAATGTAACTTAAATACTTGTGGAGGAACCTTTTTGCATTACCATTTTTTGGACCGTGTCCATATTTGAATTCGTTTTTT